TTATGTCTTGATCCACACCCGGGCCGTCAAGCGCCAAGCACAGAAGGTTTAGGGCATCTAGGGTTTGGCGTTCCGGGTGGCGTGGGGGGTTCGGGAAAAACCACCAAACGGGCTTGCCGTCAACTTCATGATTGATCAGCCTCGCACCTTACCCTAAGGCCCCAAAGTAGTTCCTTTTTGGGGTTCGTATATAAAATTCTATATACGACCCCAAAAAGGAACTACTTTGGGGCCTTAGGGTAAACCAGAAACCTGCCACTTGAGAGCCCTTCAGCCCTCAACTCCAAAATGCCGAGACGTTGAAACCATAAACCCTGCGGCCGAAATGCCGTAGAGCTGCGCCTAAAAGCCCTGAGACCTATTGCCCTCAACCCCAAAGCTAGAGGCCTTCGAAAATTTGGCTACTCTCTAGTGCCGGTCCCGACATCCCGATATCCCGAGTTACTTAAGCCCCAGACGCCTAAACTCACTCAAAACCCCAAACTTGCAAGCTGCTCCCAACCCTTAACCGTGGCCGCCAACCTTGGGGTTGACAGACTAGGGGGACTTGGTACCCCCAAACCCTAAATCTCTAAGCCTCTAAACCCTAAACCCCTACAAGACTAAACCCTAAACCTGTGAACCCTTAATTAAACCCTTAAAACCCTAAACATAAAGCTCACAACCGGAAGAGGCTGAAGTCCGCTCGCTGCCCCAATCGCTGCCCAACGGCTTGAGCAGCAGCGGGCCGCTGGCGAAAAAGGCTCATCGCCCCTTTTCGGTACTCAGGCTTCAATTGGTGGGATGAAGGTAGTTAGGATTAGGGATCCCTCATATAGGGATCAGCGCCCCTTTTTCCGTGTGGAAACTTATTCTATAGGGTTTAGGGTTAGAGGTGTAGGGTTAGAGGTTTAAGGCTTAGGGTTTATGGAGCTATGGGGATATGTTGTTGTTGTGTGGTTACGGTTGGTGGCTGTTCACGGCTCGCGGGCAGTTTTGTGGTTGTGATTGTGTTGCTTTGTCGCCTTTTTGGGAGGGAGGACTGTTAGGTTTAGGGTTTAGAGTTGTGGTGGTTGTGTTTCTTTTGCTGGTGTGGTTGTGGTTGGGTTAGAGGTTCGGGGAATATGGATGTATGTCTGCGCTTAACCAGTATCCTAGCCTAAAATCCTCGCCATCGTCCTTGAATGTGGGGCCTGTGGAGAGCTTTGGGGAGTGCGGGGTCTAGCGCTTTGTTGTTTGACAAGCCTGGTAGGTAACCTTTAACCGTTTTGGGGTACTATGATCTCAACATACTCCCAAAAGTTAACCTGCATTTTTCCTAGGTAGGAAAAGCTTTACCAGTTTAGGGTTGAGGCTCAGGGTTTACGTGACCAGACATTGCGGCATTACATTATGAATGTGAAGATTTGTCAAGAGATGCAGAAGGGCTGCTGTATGAGATTAGGACCGAGGAGTTCGGGGTCAGCATATCCCCACCGTCTCCAAGCCACACTTTTTGCTCGTAAATTTGAAGGGTGTCTTAAGGTCTGTGAGGGAGGGTTGTTAAGGTTCACGCACTTAGTAGAGCAAGAGTTCAGATACTGGCGCAGAAGACTTGCAGCACTTCTCAGCCTTACAGCACTTGCAATACCATCGTCCCTAAATAGATGCATCCCCTATTTTTTGGGTTGTGTCCGAAGCAGAAAGATTCCCAGTCAGTAGTGAGAGCACAGCGCGGCCTGGTTCGGGGCTTAGGGTTTAGAGTTTATAGGGGTGTGGGGGGCTTAGTCGAGGAGTTCTAAGCCATGTTGAATGGGCTGGACATACTGTCAGGAGTGCCCACCCGCCCCGACTTGGTGCGTAATTTTTTCTATACCTTAAATTATAGTAGGATCCCTAATATGATTTAAGGAATATTCCTTAATTAAGGGATATTGGGCTCTCTGGGCTGCTTCTCCTGCAAGCTCTGTGCGCGCTGGTGGACGTCCGCTCCCGGGACCGCCTCAGCGGTTGAATCCAGCTAGACCCTAGACCCTAAACCCTAATTACTAAACCCTAAACCCTAGACCCCATAAACCCTAAACCCTAATTCCTCAACCATAAACCCTAACACTGACGAGCTGAAGAGAAGACCAGAACACCTTCTTGCCGGAGCAAAACTGGCTTTTCTTTGCAAGTCTGGAGCAGTTGGAACCGCCAGCTGGAAGTAAGAGGTCTCCAGAGACCACCCGAGCCCGAAACCCAACACTGCAAAGCCCTTCAACCTGAACCGTATATGGCTAGACATGGAAGCCCGTTTTAGCATGAGCTTTAAGCCCTTGTGTCCTAAATTTTATGGCTAAAAGCCCTCCACCCGCAAACCTCAAGACCTATAAGCCCTATACGTCCCGAACCTGAGAGCTTAAATTCAAACCCCGAAGTCTGAACCAAAAACCCCTTTCGCGGGTTGGGTTTAGGGTTTAGGGTCACAGCCCTTCGAGGGCTCACCGGAACCCAGCCGTTCCTCCCCGCCGCTGCAGCGCGCAGATAGCCGGCAGGGGCCTAAAACGAAGCTTGCTTTTCATGGGGCTGTCTTTGTTGATGCAGTGCTCCCATACCAACTTTTTAGATGATTTTTTGCTCTAGATGACAAGCTTCTGCTTGGGAATCATATCGGAGAGGTACGATGAGGCATGCGGTTTGCCGGGTCATCTACTTTCTTGTATAATGGAAGGGAACAGGGACTACAACGGAGACCGCAGGTAGATGGTGGAGACACTGCAATTTCCGGCTGTATTACCGGAGCCTAACTGATTACTAATTCGGGTCGTTTGGAGTTGCTCAGTACGGCATACAGTATACTCATCCAGAAAGCGGCCCCCCATTCTAGGCATGCAGGGCCCGTCTAAGACCCTCTCAAACCTATAAGGCCCGCAAAACCCGTATCAGACCACATCCAAAAAACCGCAGATACCCCCATTCCAAGTATGGAGGTCGGTCCGCATATTGGATCGAGGGTTAACACAACCCTATGAGACTTATATACTTTTCTATACAAACCCCATAAATACCATTAGCCCTATGATCCCTTCAGTTTCTATGAAAACCCTATAAAAGCTCACAAAATCTCATAAAGCCCTGAAACTCCAGGTCTTCGATCCTCAGGACCTCGGGCGCAATGGCCCTGAGGAAGTGACGACCGAAAGCGTCGAAGAAAGACCGTGCTCGGAGGTTTGTCGTTGTGTGGCTTAGGTTAGCCCACGGTATCGGATTTAGGGGTATTATTTCGGGTTTGGGGTTTAGGATTTAGGGTTAGTTTAGGGGGGTAAATACTTACCAATGCTTTTTATGATTAGAGCAGAATGGGCCCCAAAAGCCAATTCTAATTGTTAAGGCCCCTATATCAGGGAAGCACGTAGCCTTAAAGCCCTACCGCTTTAGGCTTAGGTTAGCTTGTAGATGCTTGCAGCCTTGAAGCCATCCTTTTGTTCGGACTCCTTCTTATGGCTTCCTTGAATGCTTATGTTCTTTTGTATATAAACATATGGTATTTATGTATTTGTATATTTTAGTGAAAGACTGCATGTAAGGTGCTGCTGGTGGGTTCAGGAAAAGTGCAGGGGCTTGGTTAGGATGTAGGCACACAGGCGGTCTCGGTTTGAAGGAGTTGGTCGGCCCCCTATCCATGTGTATGTAAAAATACGTGTATATTCATGTACATATATATATATATAGATTTATAATTATATTTATATTTATGTATATATACAAACACATACATACATACATACATACATACATACATACATGCATAAGTACATACCTACATACATACATACATACATACATACATACACAAACACCCGCACACACACACACACCTACATTCATACGTGTGTATATATATATATATATAGATGCGTATATATAAATATATATATATATATATATATATATATATATACGGATACTTCCCGAATGCTCAACGCCCAGCATTCCGAAGATGCCGCCCGCATCACCACACCCCCAGCCCTGAGTCCTAAACCCTGATCCCAAATCCTAGGCCTGAAGTCCTACCCTGGGGCTCCATAGTAGTTCCTTTTTGGGGTTCATATATAGAATCCTATAAGGCAATCCCAAAACGGGAACTACTATGGAGCCTATGGGTAGACCCTGAATCCCTGAACAGCAAGGCCCCAAAAGCCTAAAACCAAATTGGCAATCTGCAGCAAATTGTCTTCCAAGATGACGCAGTAGCACGCGGGGAAAGCACCCGTGCGGGAGTGTGACCGCCGCCCACGGCAGGCAGATTGCCCTTTTACAAAGTATGGGTTTAGGCTGCACGTTCCGTCTCGATCTGGGGTCGTCGTGTGAGGATCTTGTTTGTGTTGAGGTTAATGGATCTCTAACTCGGGGGTTCTTTTCCGGGTAATGGGTTGCCATTAGCTTGATTGGGAATTTGCTAGCAGAAGCCAAGAACACTGCCGTAATAGTGCCCCACTTCTGACTGTAGCCCCTGATTAACAAACACCGCTCTTCGGCTCTTCATAAGGGAATTTATAGTAGGGATTTTACAACCCCTAAACCCTAAAAACCCTAAACCCTAAAAACCCTAAAACCCTAAACCCTAAAACTTTTAAGTAAAATCAGAGGCCCGGCAAGATGGACTTCGGGATTGTGTTCATCAGGTGGTTTACGCCGAGTCTGCCATGGCAACATCAACTCTCTACCCATATAGGCTCCGTCGTATAGTTCCGTTTTGGGATTACCTTGTAGGATTCCATATATGAACCCTAAAAAGGAACTAATATGGAGTTTTAGGGTATCCTGCAGATGCAGTATCACGCTGCCACTGGAACTCACGTCAGGCTTGAAGATTGGCAGAGGGACACTCTTCGTGTTCTACAGACCCCTGCACATCGAAGTCTATGATAGTATATTATGCTACTATCTTAAATTATAACACATCGTGTGGTTAAGTTACATTTTGTTCTATTCGATTCGGCTATTTGCTATGTTTGTTTTTGTGTTTACGTTGTTTTGGTGCGAGGCAGAACGGCCGAATGGATGTCGGGAGCTTATTTGCTCGTTTTCTCTTGGCAGCGCGCTGTAGGTCACCACCGCTGTGATTTAGGGTTTAATCTTCATGCGTGTAGGAGTTTAGTATTCAGGGTTCGGGGGTTGAGGGTGCAGGGTTAAGGGTTTTCAAAGCCCGTGCTCAAAAAGGGTTCAGGGGTTGAGGGTTTAGGGTTTCGGGGTTGTGGGTTTAGGGTTTTTGGGGTTCAGGGGTTAAAGGAACGTCAGAGAGCTCCTTCAGCGGCTTGATGGCTTCTTTGTCTACAGGGTTGTATCATGTTTTGGTACTGTGGCCTTAGCACATAGACGAATGTTTCTATGAGGGTCTCTCTTTTTAGTGTCTTTGGCTCGAGGTGATTTGGGTTTTCGGGCTTATGGTTGTAGTGTTCGACCTTGTAGGGAGAGCCATAAATAATATCATGGCAAACCCATTTTTGGGAGTTTCCGGAAATAGGGGACCTAATACAGCACCCGAAATAGTAGGATCCTTATTATAAGGACCCCAAAATAGGGGGTCCGAATGGCTCAGCAAGCGCATTTGCCGAGCTCCGGAGTGATTGTTCTCTTCGTGGCTTTGCAGGGTTTGGGGGCTGTCAGATTTATGTCTTTGGGGCCGTGGGTGGCGTTGGATTCCGGGGGGGTCGAAGGAGTGCAGACTCGTTGCGTTTATGATTGGGGTCGAACTTGCGAGGTGAGAAACATCCGTTTATGTAGGGTTTACCTGGACCGCAACAGTATGCAGAATAACAGCCTTGTTATAGGTGTTGGGCCATTAGTTATTTTATCTACTGTTGGGGTTCAGGTCGGGTTCAGGGTTTAGGGCCAGATTGAACCCATACGATTTGAAGCGGTTGTCGGGGCTGAATTCACAAGGCCTCCTGCCTCCTCGGACGTAAACTCAAAAGGCTTATAAGCACGACATCCAGAACCCCCATCATCCCGCCTGCGCCCCTCCTGCATGCCTCAGTTCAGGAATCCTACTTCAAAAGCAAACCGCAAGCACCAAACTTTAAAACGTAAACAACCCTTATACCCGAACACTAAACCCAACACCCGAACCCCGGAACCCTAGACCCTCACTCCCTCTACCCCTAAGCCGCAGCTGATGAGGGAAGCCTTTCAGGTGACAGCATCTCGCCAGGGGTGCGAATTCAGCACTTACCTATAGTCTCCATCGTAGTTCCTTTTTCTGGTTAACCAAAATCTGTATTGCAGGATCCTAACCATAAAACTGGTTACCCAAAACAAGGAACTACAATGGAGACTATAGGTAGGGGCTCGGCTGTAGTTTGGGTTCGAGGCGTAGGGTTTAGGATTCAGGGAGTCGGCTTCGTAGGGGTTTTAGCCTCCTCAACCCTAAACCCTAATACCCTGACCAAGCCAGCCAAGTCCGTGAAGTCATCAAATGGCCGAGGCTGCGTCGTCGATCCGCCCGGCATCGACCTAAATCTCATTCGTCTAACCTGTGGCTTCAATGACATACGACGTAGGTAAGTAGGGTGTGCATTACTGCATGGGAAAACAGCCAGGATGTATTCATCAATAATATACGCAAGGAAACCGAAATTGTTTGGCAGTGCGGTTGTTTCTGATTGGGGCTGAATTCGTTTATACTTAAAGGCTTCTAATAACGTTGCAATAAGGTTTATCAGAGGGCTTCGTCCAGAGACATTCACCAGTAGAATAATGCTATGGTCTTACCTTGTACTTTGTTGGGTGGGTTCCTTCTGGTTCAGCCTGCTTCTAGAGCTACAGCTTCACGAGGATCCAAGTACCTTGATAGCAGAGAATAGAGCTTCGACATCAATCGTGTTTTCTCACGGCTGCTGGAGCTTTCAGTCAGTCTTTGCAGTTTGTAGCATGTGAAAGCTTCCGTGGTTACTGGCACCGGCAGAGTTGGAGTTTGCATCGTAGATGGCCTTATAAGTGTTTGCATTGAGAGAATGCCTCCTCCACCTTTATTGCGGTATTTGTAACGCGTCCTCGAACTAGTCACATTAAGCAGCCCATGCTGGGAACTCGATGCTTGGATGCTTGTTCGAGCTAGATACTAAGACAGAAGGTGCTCCGAGCACAGAACTTTGCCTTAACCCTGAAAACCTACCCTTTTAGGGTTCCTTATTATGATTTCCTTATATAGGTCCTTCAAAAGGTAGGTTATTCCGGGTTAAGGTGTGCATTAGAAGGACACCGCCCACGTGGCTCCGCGTCGCCCTGATGTCGAACGATTCGTGCGCTGTAACGTCTGCTATGTAAGCGCTGCACGACGTTGATCCAACGACCCACCATGCCTCGTGCGGCTGTAAAGGCACTGAACCGGCTGCATGGACCCAAATGACAAAGTTGGCGGTATCGCGGATCTTTGTGGAGTTGACGCACGGTCGGTGGAACTTCCTGCATGGATCCTCGTGGAAATGCTGTATGATCCGGCGTAGCCTCAACGACCAATGTCTCAGTCGGCTGGGAGACATCCCAGACCTTCCAAAATCCCTTCATTAAGGAATATACCTTAAATCATAGTAGGATCCCTAATATGATTTAAGGTATATTCCTTAATTATCCCTACTATGATTTAAGGTATATTCCTTAATTATCCCTAATATGATTTAAGGTATATTCCTTAATTAAAAGATTTTTGGAAGGTCTGGGATCCTCCGCAGACTTGCTCTCGCTCTCGCCTCGGCCTTCGGGCCTTTGGTTTCCTTCCGAAGCGAAGAGACGGTTTGACGAAGTTTGTACCTACAGTCTCCATTGTAGTTCCTTTTTTTGGTTATCCAATTTTATGGTTAGGATCCTATAATAGAGATTTTGGTTAACCAGAAAAAGGAACTACAATGGAGACTATAGGTATGATGGTTGACTGTCAGCTCAAGACTGGCATCGGGCCGTAGGTTTCGTGGCCGGGGCGTCTCTAAGTACCTCCAAGTACAGCTTTGCGCCCGCTACTCACGCACGAAATTTTGTGCCGTCGAGGAGTCCATCGCACCTGAAGCTGCGATCCCGCAGCATCCAAAGGCTGCATTTACTGCATCGTAACATCAAATAACTCAACTCCTTCAACCAGGCTTGTGTGGAGGGTTGCGAACGGCATGCCCATAAAGCGCTTAGAATCCCAGAATGCCAATCAACCTTATATTGTAGCTGTGGGTGTATCATGTGTCTGTTCCGGGGTTCGGTTCTGCGTATTGTCCGTGTATCCAGGCCAGCAGTGCTGGCTGTGGATAAGCGCAGCCGGGCGCGAAGAATGCGAACAAACGAGCACGGCTAATCGCCTTCCGCCTCTTGCAGCTTGATCTCGTTTGCCGATCCGATATCCTGGCAGAGCAGGCAGTGGCGTGGCTGCTACGTGATCCTGATTCGGGGCGAAAGCCTGAACATGGCCAAGTGTACATCGGAGAATCTCAGTCACCAAGCGCACGGGTCGCATCACGACGAAATCGAAACTGCCGCAGAGTCGCTGCAGCGTGTGTCGCCTGTGCATTTGGTGACGTTTCTGACATGTATTGAGGCCGCAAGAAATGCGTTTGGCAGCGACTGCGGTGCGAGGCTGCCGAACGCTCAGGGTTAAGCAGGCCAGACGATGTTTGTAAGATCTTCATCGCAAAAGCCGTGAAGGTCAAGAGCTGTTGATTGAAGACCGATCCCGCTGCTGGGTATGGTCATATGCTGTTTTGCACCTAGCAAAGTAGCACTAATTGTCGCGGCACGTAGGAGCTTCAGGGGTTGTTAACAGTGAAGCGGAATGTATGCCCATGAATGCGAAAAACTGACGCTGCCCACACGGTTTTCAATCAGTGAACGAGAAGAAGCATCGATGTGCTGAAAAATATCCGTGCATCATGTTCAGCCGTTTCCCCAAGTATGCAGCCTTGTATTGGTGGCGACGCGCATTGAATGTCAATAGCGTCATTAAATCCAGGTTGTCCGGCGGAAATGTGTCTTCCGAACTCGTCCCTTCCATGACACATCGAATGCCGGCAAGCTGAAGTGTGAGCGTCTCGCGAATGCCGCCGCTTCCAATACCATCGTTTCCGTATGTTTTGTTTGCATCACTTCACTTCTAATCACCATCACCTCTACCCGCATAATTCAAGCCCTTTTCACCTTATTGTATGTAGTCAGTATATTCATATTACCACCATCACGACGGCGACTACGATGATTATTGTGGTTCCTACGTGTTCCTACTATAGACAACTATACCGACACTACCACCACCAAAAAGACGACGACTACTAGTGGTGCCAGTACAACAACGATTTGCTACTTCATGCATTGCCAGCTCTACCGTTGCTGTTGCTGCCACTGCTGGTGCAATTGCTGCCGCTATTGCTACAACACTACTTCTACTGCTATGAGTGGTATTGCTGCTATCGCTAACACATCTATTACGACCACGAAGCCGACTATTATTTCTACTAGTACTGCAACGACGACGACAATTACTACTATCACACCACTATCTACTCCTGTTCCCAGCTACACTGCCGACATTTTGATTATGCTTATACTACTACTATGACTACGACGACGACGATTACTACTACTATTATTATTACTTTTAATACTATTCTATTACTTTTACCACTACTACGACTACCCACCACGGCCACCACCACTACTACTATTATTATTAATTCTATCATTATTATTATTACTACTACTACTATTCCTACTACTACTACTACTACTACTACTACTACTACTATTACTACTACTGCTACTATTACTAGTACTATTACCCGTACTATTACTCGTACTACTACTAGTACTACTACTATTAGTACTACTACTACTACTACTACTACTACTACTACTACCACTACTACTACTACTACTACCACTACCACTACGACGACGACTACTACTACTACTACTACTACTACTACTACTACTACTACTACTACTACTACTACTACTACTACTACTACTACTACTACTACTACTACTACTACTACTACTACTACTACTACTACTACTACTACTA